TGCAAATTTTAGACCAGTCGCGGCATTTGAATGGCTTTTTTACGTCTCTGTTGTGATTGGTTATCGCTAACGTTTTAAGGCAATCATGTTGCAGCTGATGCAGTACGCGGCAAATCAAACATGGCGGCAGACAAAAAGTTTACGTGGTCTGATGAAGAAATTAATTTGTTGCTACATGTAGTTGTAGACTACAAAGCAGGAAAAGCAGAGGAAGGAGTTGATTGGCTAACGGTCAGGAGCAAGTACGAAGACGCAACCAAAATGTTTTTGGAATAGCAACGATAAGGAGATAACGATAAGGAGAAATTCCCCCGACTTACCGCTAGGCTAGAATCTGCATTTGTTTGTTTCTTTTGTCTTTAATTTAACAAAATGTAACAAAATGTTTCATTTCTGCTGAGCAACCAAGCAAAACATAACTAGATTCCAGGCCTTAACTGCGCTATCTGAGCAAAAAGTTGCACGGTTCGGGTGTTTACACGAGTCCGTACGAAATATGGAACCGTGCCGGTCATAAAGTTGACCTGCTTTTTTCGGGTCCCAAACTTGCACACTTAGCCGTTCAAAAGTTCGTCCAGTTGCGCCGGTCCCGTGTAAATGGATGGTGGAACTGGGCAAGTTTTTGTCCGTGCAAAAATTTGTCCGGACCCGTTTTGTACACTTCCTCACAGTGACGCAAATACATCGGATTTTTTGGTTGGTAACCGTTTATATTCTTGCGTGGAAAATGAGTGCGAGTTAAGTTTGCAACACCTAGTCAATATTAAGTCCCACATTCTTATATTTTGACTATAGCATTATAGCGAAGCTCCGGCGGCCCGAAGGGCCGTCAAGCGGAGCCCCACACTCATATAGGAAAGAAAAGGAAACCCATGAGTTGAATTTCTCATGGTTATCATGGCTAGCGGTATTGTTCGTGGGCGCGTACGCACGACGGCGACGGCGACGGCGACGGAGCCGCGCAACATGGCGGCCACACTCCAAATAATGGGTTGACAGAGACATGCAGCCTTGGTTTACTGTGTATTTGTTTGATATTGAACATCCATGTTATGATCAATTGACACCTGTCAAAACAAGGTATTCGCTGACTAGTATCACGTGACCATATTGCGGACTCAAAATTGAAGCTCATCGAGGTCACGTGTTTCTTATGAAGTAGACTGCTGACCAAGTGCTGGGTTTTTTATTGGATCGTAGGCTCATGTCAGGTTAACTTGTTGAAAACAGGGCAGGATTGTTCGGAAGCCGGTTAACGCTAACCCAGGATTAAAAGTTAACGGAATTTTAACTCTTTCTTCTATACAAATGTGTTTTGCTGTATTGTTTTGTGTATATGGTGATTATTAAAATTCAAAACAGAAGGCCAAACAATATTCAGAAAACCTCACCGCGAAGTTACAAAACTCAAATCAAAATTCTACCTTTTCCTGGGTTAGCTTAATCGGGCTCTGAAGAACCCGGCCCAGGAGCTAGGCTTTTAGGCAGGCCTAAATCTATATTATTACATCCTCGACGTTTTTAACTTAACCTTCCTTCCAACGTTTACCTAAAGGGTCATTCATTGTAACAGGCTTGAAAAACGAAGGCCCTTACTTTCGAAATATGCTAGAATTGATAACATAATTTTCATTCCGTTTAATCGACCTTGCGTTTTTTCTTCGTTCATTATCAATTTATGGTTGATGAAATCGCATCTGACATTTTCAATACTAACGTGCTAATAATAAATTATGACAAGGTAATCAAACATTTGACTTCATACCTTGTACGATCATCATAGCGGTCTGGTTTGCAGTGCCCATCAAGTTTTTTCCAACACAAGTGTATTCTCCTGC